TAGAACATTTGCTAGTATGGGTTATGTTAAAAAGGCAGTGGCAGACAAAGCATTATTGGAACAGAAGCCAATCAAGTTCTGATTAAACAACTTGTCATTCAGTAGAGAATTTCAATTTAATTTAGGATAAGATAGAATTTAGCAGACTGAAATAAAATTACACAGCCACAGAAAAACTTGTTTGATATGTTTAAAAAGTTTGAAAGGGCTTCTTCATTAACAAAAAAAACAAAACAGGCCTGTCAAACTGAATGTTGAGATTTGAAACTGACCTGCAGCAAACCTTTTCTTGACAAGAGAGAAGCGGTATCCTGGTCCAGCCAGTTCAATGTCACATCCCGACAGGTTGCTACCCTCACTGGTGAACTGCACGGCCAGTGGAGCCGGTTTACTGGGACCCTCTGTCAGCTGGAAGCGTGCTAACAAGGACCCCACACCTGGGGGGGAGAATGCAAATGTATAAAAACACAAGGGTGAGGCCTATATTAATTTAAGTAATTTATGTATTTAATTAATTTACTTATTTAATTTATTTGTTTAATTTACTTATTTAATTATTTATTACATTTATTAATTAATTTATTTGACATTTATTTAACTTATTTACTTACATTGTGTTTAATTTATTTACTTTATTTAATTTACTTATTTAATTAATTAATTAATTTATTTACTTATTTATTTAATTTACTTATTTAATTTACATATGTATTTAATTTTCTTATTTACTTATTTATTTTATTTACTTGTTTAACTTACTTTATTTAATTTACTTACTTTATTTAATTTACTTATTTTATTTACCAACAAAGTCCATGCTCAATAATCCAGGTATACAATCCAACAATTTTCAGTCAGGTCATCTGGACAGTTTCTTTATTTTTTAGTGCCGAAACGTTTCACCTTCCATCCAGAAGGCTTCATCAGACATTTATCAGTTATTTTATTTACTTACTTAATTTACTTATTTAATTTATTTACTTATTTAATTTACTTACCGATACTTACTTATTTACTTACTTACTTATTACTCATTATTCAGAGAAAATTAAACAGACGAATCACCCTGAGCTCAGGTAACAAACAAAGTTTAACTTTATTAAAAAAATAAATTTGCTTAGGTCCATCTAATAATTTGTTTCATCTCAGACTTTTCCACTCTAGTTTTTTCTGTTTGTTGTTACAATGATGTTTAAAATTAGAGTGTTTTCTACACTAGTGTGTAACAAAAAAACAGACGTGTGTGTAGAAAATAGTAATATTTATGAACCCAAAAGTTTTCAGACAGCATCACGTTAGCTTTATGTCAAGAGCACTAAATAAAAAAAGATGGCTGAGATCAAATCTTTGGTCTTACACCGTTTCTACATCAGTTCATAACAACAAATACAAGTTATCTGTTTTTTTTTTTTTTTTGCTTCTTTTTATTATAAAAATAAGTAAACAGGTGCTTATGTCTCAGGTCTCTCTTGTAAATGAGTCCACGATGCTCAATGAGATTAACCTGTATAAAAAACGGATGAATGAGTGTCTGCGTGTTGAATCACTTTATGTAGATTTATGAGCGGTTGGTTTATAAAGGTGGAATGAAAACAGCATGAAAGTATGGTTTCTTCTGGGTGTCTTTAGTAAAAAAACAACAAAGAGGTTCAAACTGTGCTTCTTTGTTAGTGTTTGAACTTATAAATAGATTTCTCCGTAGTTCTTCTACAGCTTACCTCCGTTTTCAGATTTCTGGGAGATATCTGGGATCTTCCAGAGGATTTTTTGCTGCTCTGCATTCCTGACAGGATTATCAAACAGACATAAAATCAGCGAGGAACACCTGAATAATATATTATAAGATGCACTGATATAGTCTCATTTAAAACAAAGAAGACAAAAGTATTTTTTTTTATGTTTATATTTGTCATGTTTAATTAAAAACAGCTATATACTTTACAGTGTGGACGTACCACGCAGCAGGAGGTAAGACAGCCTGGAGTTTTGAAACACCTCCATCTACAGGGACGAGGAACTGGACGTTGTTGAGGGCTATCGGCGTGGACATGGCCTCCCCGTTGTACTTGTAGTCTATCCTCAGGTCAGTGCTGGTGGGCTCACACCTCCAGCTCACCGCCAGGTTCAGAGGAGTCAGCTGGAGGCCCTGCGTCAATACCTGTCCACACCGTTTATTATTCCAACACATTCTCATTAAATCCTCATTCAAGGAAATAACTCTTAAACTTTTGGCCAAAGGCTGAGCGAACCTGATACTTGAGCATGTCCACGTTGTAGTATGTCGCTTGTGGCTTCTGCTCGGCCACCTTCTTTAAATGTGATATCAGGTTTGGCATGTTCACCCAGAAGTCCTTGGCGTCAGCCTTGGGCTCAGTGGTGCCGTCGCTGTGTGGACGGGGGACAGACAGTTCATATAACAGAGCAGTCAAACAGCACGTTGCTGTGAAACAAAAGCAGACGTATTTTGGGCAAATGAAATTCGCAGGGATTGATTAATATTTTTATTGGAACAAATACCAACAAAGCTCAAAGTTAGCTGAAAAAAAAAACAACAACAAAAAATAAATTAATGTAACTTGACTTTGTGAAACGTTTATGAACATTTATGAAGCATTCTCAAATTGTGATCCATTTTTCTTCCGTACATTTTTCTCATTCCACAGTTTTTGTACCATTTCAACAAATCATAGAGCTAAAACGTTCAGCTCATTCAGGAGAAGAGTGCTATAAGTTTTGGTATTGGTGCAACTTTAGCTTTTGAATTATTTAGCCTTTTCTGCCATTTTTTTCCTAATAGAAAATTAATTGAGCTCATTTTACATCCTTCAAATCTTTAGATCTGTTTACAACCTTTTACTGCTCCTTTCACATTTTGTTCTGGTGAAGCTTCTTTCAGCTTCTTTGTGCAAATTTAAACCTTTTTTAGCTACTTCCAGCTATTTTCATCTGTTTCCCCTTTCAGATTATTTCGGCTAACTTCAACATTTTTGTGCTTCTTCTAACTTGTATCTACTAATTTCAGCTTGTGCTCCGTTCAGCTTTTTATTTGCAAGTTTCAGCTTTTTCTGCTATTTCAGCTACTATTTAGCTGTTAATTTTAGTTTTTTTGGCTAATGCCATATTGTTTGCACTCATTTAAACTTTTTTCTGCCCAATTCAGTAAAAATGTGCTCTCTCCACTTTCTTCTGGTAATTTAAGATTCTTTCTGATTTTTTTAGCTACTTTTCAGCAGTTTTCTTTGATTTCCTAATTTCAGCTATTTTCAGGTAATTTCACCTTTTTGTGCTCATTTCTACTTCTTTCAGTCTAACTGGGCATACGTGTTCTTTCTGTTTTCTTCTGCTATTTTAAGCTTGATCTACCTTTTCAGCTACACTTTTTAGCATTTTTAGCTAATTTCAGCCGTTTTCTGATTGTTTTTTTTGTGTGGTAATTTCTGTTACTTTCAGGCTAATTAACTTCTTTCAACTAATTTCAGCTTGTTATGCTCTCCTTTCAACTTATTTCTACAAGTTTCAGTTATTTCAGCCATCATTTAGCTGTTATTTTGAGCTTTTTCAGCCAGTTCCACTTTTTTTAAGCTCATTTCAGTTTTTTCCTAGTAGTTTAAGCTTCTTTCAGCCTTTTCAGCTACTTTTCAGCTTTATTAAAAATTTTCCCCATTTTTTCAGCTTTTTATGTAGATCATTTCATAATCTCTGAGTATATTTCTGCCCATTTAAACATAATTCAGCAAATATGTGTTATTTCTGCTTTCTTCTGCTAATTTAGGCTTGTTCCTCATTTTCAGCAAAATTCAGCATTTTTTATAGCTAATTTCAGCTGTTTCTCAGCAAGTTCTTCAACAATAAGCATTCACACTGCGTTTTTTGGGGCAGCACGGTGGCGCAACTGGTAGAGCTGCTGCCTCTCAGCGAGAAGGTCCCTGGTTCAAACCCCGGTCCAGGGGCCTTTCTGGGTGGAGTTCGCATGTTCTCTCCGTGCATGCGTGGGTTTTCTCCGGGTACTCCGGTTTCCTCCCACAGTCCAAAAACATGCATGTTAGGCTGATTGGTAACTCTAAATTGTCCCTAGGTGTGAGTGAGAGAGTGAATGGTTGTTTGTCTCGTTTGTCTCTATGTGGCCCTGTGATAGACTTGCGACCCGTCCAGGGTGTACCCCGCCCCTCGCACAGTGATTGCTGGACATGGGCACCAGCGACCCCCGTGACCCGAAATGGAATAAGCGGGTAAAGAAAATGGATGGATGGACTGCGTTTTTGGAGGAAATGCAGTTTCAGTTCAAACTGCTTCAGTTTATTATCATTTAGTTATCCAGCTGGCCTGTGTCTCTCCCTGAAGGGAAGCAAAGGGAAACAAAAAAATCACTTTTGTATTTATGCTTTACACTTCAGGTTAACTGAATTTCCCCATCGCCTTGTACTTCAGTTAGATGTTTATGAAAACTTTGTCTTTGTAATGATTTATACGCTTTAATTTATCTGAAACGTCAGTCGGCCTGATGATGACTCAGATTGTACTCAGTCTGACATCACGTTCATGATTCACGTCGATGATTAAACCATCTGGATGTGAAGCAACAGACGAGCGAAGCAGAACACATTTATAAAGATCTCTATAGATTTTAATAGGTTTACAACCATAAACATAAAAATTGGGAGTTTTTAAAGAGTCTATTCATGCAGTTTTACTGTTTAATATTCATACAGAAAACACAAAAATATGCACAATTCTTGTGTCAACTTATGTTTTAAGCTCTTATTTTACACACAGTTTGTAATGTTTGCTCATTTTAGTTTCCTTTTTTGTTTGCTTCCTTTAGAGTATTAAAACATATTTATTTCCACATGATTTAACACAGTAACCCACAGTGTGGGTAAAGGTGAGTATTGTGCTGGACTTGCTCTCATTTTATATTGTGCTGAACTTGTTGAGTGAAAACAAACGTGATTTTAATGCTGCGCTGCTATAAACATACAACATAAATTGAAAAACCCAGTTTATTAAAAAAAGCTGAAGGGCAGAACGGTAAACGTGAAATTACATAATAATAAGCATAAGAGAGATTAAATCCGCACATTTGATTGGGTTTTAAAGGAGGTTTAGTTAATTATTCTTGTTAAACATTCTGGGTGAATTAGATCATTATAAGAGTTTCTGATTTAAACTACTCGCACGTGAGCGCTGTGGTGAACTGTTCATGTAAACGTTAAGTCAGTGTTGAAGTACTGGGTGGTGAGTAAAGAGTGAAGACATTACCAGCACAGCAGCTGGGGGTTAGGCAGCACGTGCTCCAATCGGCTGTAATTGGTTATGCTGAAAGTTAGCACGGCAGGGGATGGGTTATTGGCAAAGTGCCGCGTGATTCCCGCCGGAAACGATAAAACCATCTCACCAATGACCTTAACAACGCACCTGAGAAAAAGAGGAGGGGAGAGTTATGCACAAAATCAACTTAAACTGTTACTTTTTCCAGTTTTCTTCATTATCCCTTGTATTTTCAAAATTATGCAAACTCTGAGCTGATGCAATGATGGATTTTATTTTTTATTCGGTCAGAAAAACAGTCTGCAAAACTCTGCAAGTGATGATTTAAACCTCATTGCATTATTAAAGCATTAGCAGGATGAGAATATGCTAAATCAGTATCCTAAACACATTGCTTCACTCATCTTAATTCAAACAGAAGAAGAAAAAATAAAAGCTACTCCGCAGGTGGAAAACTAACACATGCACTGCACCAAAGTAACAGTACTGTATTTAGATTTGTTTAAATTATATAATAATTAAGATTGCACACAGTATTAAAGCTCTAAAGGCAAAAATCCCAGGTATTTATCAAAAGCTCTGTCAACAATTGCAGCGTTTCTTTTCCTGTGAAACAGTGAAATTGGTCTGAGCAGGTTTTGAATGTTTCACCGCAGACTGGTTGTTTCTAGTAATTATATGTAATATTTACAATACAATCATAATCTAGTAATAACTGGTAAAACCCTCAGTCACATCAACGTTCAGCTTCTACTCTGAAGCTGTTAGACTCATAAATCCCTGAGCAGAAAAATCACTGTAATGTCATTTAAATTGGATATTTGACACGTTATATGTGCTGCTGATTATCCATGCTGCTGATTTCTTGCCTTAAGCTATTCATACCCATCTGCTCACAACACACTCATGTTCAGGCTGCTGTTTACTACACCATACTATGTTACATTATTATTGTTTAGCCTATATCTTAAATCAGGGGTATCAAACCCACTTACTAAACGGGGCAAAAATTAAAACCTTTTTATAACTAAGGGTCAGTTTCAGGATCTACATTAACTCAAGTTAGTACACAACATCTTTTCTTGGTTGCAAGTTCCTCAACAACAGTTTGATTAGTCTCATTTGATGTTCTCTGTTGCAGTTTTGACATCATAATTAAAGATTACTGAAAAAAATTAAAGTGATAAAAAAATATATTGCATTTAAAATAACATCTTGGGGGCCAGATAAGATGTCAACGAGGGCCATATTTGGCCCCCGGGCCTTGAGTTTGACACATGGCTTAGATCCTTGTATACCATTTTCTTTTTTATAGTTTATATTTTTGCCATTTTTGGGTGTAATTGAGACCTTGAGTACACAATTTCATTCCCATGTGATGAGAATGACAATAAAGATACCTTGAACTTTGAACCTTATATATGAATACATTAATGAAGGATTGTAAACTCTTCTATGACTGACTGTATAAAAATGTTTTATGACACTGCAGTTATTTGTGTGTGATCACACACACACGCCTCCTCAGCTGATTACAGCTGCGTCACTGTGACAGATGTATGAGCAAGCTGAGAACAAACGCCTCAAATTTGAATTTAAAGTTGCTGAAATGAACAAATATTTGTCTCGTGCCTCTTGAAAACTACAGTAAGTCATAATTATTCCAATAATTTAGAAGTTACGTTGAGCTCTAATAGTGAGGAAACAAAATTTATCAAATGATGTTGAAGATTCTGAGTCATGCAGGACATGGTAAATTCAAAAAAGGTTAAATACAAAGACAGAATTGAAGTTCAGTTTTTCCAACCTTTTATTTATTTATTTATTTATTTATTTATTTATTTATTTATTTAGCAAATCATTTAGAGAATACATTAAAACAATTACTGCACAAATTGAAGAAAAACATTGTTGGGGACTGCTTGAAAGGGAGCCACCTATTATTATCCACCTGAAAAGGGTCTTGCTCTTCTATCAACTTTAATGTGGCCCGAACCGCAACTTATGTTCTATCAAAAAGACCGGCTCAGCACTCTGATGTGTGCTATTACTATTATTGGCGTTTCGAGTTACCATGGCGACGTAATTTGCAAACAAAGATGCAATTTTTCTGATTCAAAATGCATGACTGAACTTTTAACAGCCTATCAGTGCAACAGCGAGGTCACATGACTATGAGGGGAGAGATCTCTAACAAAACATTAAATCATTTTTGGAGCCATTTTGGTTCAAGATGGCTGCCACAGCTACCTCAGAAAACTCAAAATTGACTATAACTCCATAATTCTTTGAGATTTTGAGCTGAAATTTGATTTGCTCATAACTGCCAAAGTTCCTCATCCCATACTGAATCCAAAATCCAAGATGGCCACCAGGAATTACAAGAAAAAAATGACTAACATGTTGATTTTTTGCCATGATGAGCTGAAATGTATTACGGTGGTAGCGGAGAGCGAACCCAAAGCCATACAGTGGTATTGTAAGAACATATTTTTTAAATGACTGCCATGTGGCTGTCCAGAAACCTTTTAGTTTTCTTTAGTATCTAAAAAAGAAAATGATATAAATATATTTTTATGTACTTGCTGGGGTCGGCTCCTTTAAAGAAGGCGTTGACAGTCTCTGTGAATGCAGCGGCCACGGGGAGTGTGTCCTGAGCCCCCATGGTGAGGGGACTAGGACCTCGAGAGCAGCCTACAACCAACAAAGAAACACACACACAAGCTTTTATTTAATATGACATAAAGTCAACAAATAAGTGTAATTTTCATTGAAAAACTGCTTAAAGATTATTGCGCTTTTTAAAATTTCTACAGAAATTATTATTTATTTATCCCATATTTATTTATTTAAGAAATATTGGTTTAAATTTGAGATCAACACGTTCAGTTTCAGCCCAAAATAAAATAAATCAACGCTTTCAAGCCAGAATCTTACACTCTTCCTAACAGTGCAGGGATGAAACGAGGATGGAATGGGTGAAAACTTTAACGATGAAATGAAATGGCATTTTAGAGTTATTCAAAACCAAACACAGATATCAGTGTTAGTAGGATGGAACAGCACGTGATGTGATGAGAACACATTTCTCTCTGCTTTTTGACTGTAAAACTTCTGAAATAAAAGCACACTTATTTCAAACATCTTTTTTAAATGCATGAATTGTTCTCTTCCTTCAATACACAGTGATGCTTGCTTTGAGCTGAATCAGCGCTGCTAGATGAGAAAGTAGTGAGAGGCAGACCATAAGACAGATAAACACATGCTTGTTTCAGAGTACTCTGACAAGATCAGGGACAATCAGAAACCAAACAAGCCAAAAGACCAGCGGGGGAAAAGAAACGACAAAGTGATTAGTAAGGTGCACAAAGAAAAAGATGGCTTTTCAATGAAAAAGGCAAGCCAGTGCAGATAAAAGAGGATTGTAAAACATCAAGAGACAAAAAGGGAAAACCAGATATTTGACCGCAGATGATGGGAGGCTCAGTGAAAGTTAGGAGATAAGGAGGGAGAAGAGGACAGGGCAGAGGAGGGACGAAGCTTGCACAAATGAGCCTCGGAAGAGTGTAATTGTTCGTGCGCGCTACCCCGGTGCAGAGCAAACTTACCTTCAAAGGTTAAATAAAACTTCCCTCTGTCAAACCAAACAAGGGATGGCTGGTCATTCTCTGTGTGGGGTGGAAGGGCAGTGGAAGGGATGAGGTGGGGGATCAGGAGAGAAGGACGAGAAGGTAGAGGGATGACAGGGGAGGGGAGTGGGTGAGGAGGGGAGAGAAGGACAGAAGCATGAGTCTCGCATGGTAGGTCTATCGGACATCATGGTGAAGTGAAGGCCAGGGGGAGAGGAGGGACGCCGCCAGGACAGAACATGTGATGGGCGATGTGGGTGATGTTTGCATGCACGAAACAAGTCTGGGCCAGATGTGTGCCGCTGGATTTTAGTAACAATGAGTTTTAATGAGCTGAGGGACCGCGGAGTCTCAAAAGATCATCTCAGGAGATGAACTGTCAGTCTTCATCACTACACAGAATGATGCTTCTCCAGGTTTTTACTCCCACTGATTTGCACAGGAGCATCCATGCACTTCACACTGTATGGATATTTTCAGTACCCTTTTTATTAGAGTTTCTGTATTTACGTTTTACAGCAAACTTCCACCTTTCAAATGATGAAAAGGAGGATGATTGCTGTGCACAGAAATGCCCTGCAGATGGCAGCCAAAGACTAAAGCCAGCTAAGATTAGAAAGACAGGAAAAATGTTGCTTCTCACATTTTTCAGACAGAACAGGGGCTAAAGTGTATCTTTAAAAGCAAAGTAGAACTCAAAAGTGGACCTTTACAGAAACAACAACTAAATCTGGTATCAAAAATTCCAGTTTCACTTCAATAATAAAGAGTTTCTAGGCCAGCCCGCATGCCAGCAAACAAAGAACAACAAATATCGTAGAACTTTACTTTACGGGAGTAAAAGACAAATTTCTCTATCAGAAGTAAAATGTTCATCTACCATGAAATGTAATAACACAAAAACTTCAACATTAGTCGAACATTTCTCTCCTGCAAAGTCAAAGGAGGATATAGGAAAATCATAAATTCTTAATCCTTTACTTTCTTTCCTGTTAAACATGTTTTGTAAAATACTTATTTGAGCATCTCAAACAAAATATTAGAGACAATGAAAAAAATCTTATGTTGACATCAGACAGATAAACGCATAATAAAAGCTGAAAGCAATTTGTTTTAAGAAACATGAACAAATGATGACATCATTTGGTCTGCAGGATTCTGAAATGGATATACGTCTTTTTCAGCTTTGAGCAACCAACGGTGTCTTTTTGTCTGCTTCTCCCTTCTGTACGGGTTGCCACTGTGAGCAAATTCACATGAAAGGGTTGTCCTTTTGTTTTTGATTTATTTTTGTTCAGACTTGAAGGGCTTCCTGCTGAAACCAGGGCTCAAACCTGCAGCCTCAGGATTACTAAAGTGTGACCACCGAGCTACCACTGCCTCTTCTGAGCAACAAAAGGTACAAATGATTAACTAGATTTGACAAACATTAAAGTTCATGCTCAGTGATCCAGGTAGAAATCCAACAATGTTCATTCAGGTCACCTGAATGGTTTATTTTATTTTATTTTGAGACGTTTCGTCCTTCATCCAAAGGACTTCTTCAATCTGCGGAGCCACCAAAACAA